GGACCAGGGAGGATGATTCAACCACTCAACCACTAGATGTCACTGAAAACAACAAATCCAACACACTGTGCCTTTAAGGTATCAAAAGTAAATTTCTGACACAACATCTAAAGTATTAAAAGTAAAAGTACTGAGTAAAACTGAGCAGTTAGATTTTCCAAAATGACGTTTATTGGGAGGTGACTTCTCCATAAAAATGTATTTTCCACCGGCGTGCAGCTGTGATGGGTTGTGTACAGCTAATATGGTGTCAGATGGTATATATTTATATTTCTCATCCAACCACAATTAAATTCACTCTATCCAGGACACAGTTCATCTGGATAGTATTTTTTTAAGTAATAACAACTCAGAATAAAATAGGCGCAACGACTTTCTACTTCTTACCTTTTTTAAAATGTAGTGAAAAGAAAGTACAGATAATTGTGTACAAATGTAAAGAGTAAAAATAAAAAGTACGCTGAAAAATAGTTACTCAAGTAAAGTACAGATAACCAAAATTTCTACTTAAGTACAGTAACAAAGTATTTGTACTTAGTTACTTTACAACTCTGACCACATCATATCTGAGCTCAGTACCTGTAAAAATGAGTTAAATCATTTTTATGTTGGATATGGTCGATCAATCTGAGAGTTTTAAGAAAATACTCCCATTGGTTCCTGAGATATTTTGCTAACAGGAAAACAGAGTTGACATCATCAGGTAATAATCAAAAGTTGAAGCAAGGTGTTGCACAATAAGTAGTGTGCTCTGAGTGTTTGTTTAGAGTTACTCTCAACTACTACCACACCTAATTTTAGCTCAGTATCTGTCAAATTGAGTTTATTTCAATTTTTTTATTCAGTTGGTTTTATGTCAGGTTGAATCGGATCGACTTCAAAAGTGAATCACTTGTAGATTATATTCTAATGATTACTACCCGAGAGTTTCACCGCAATCCGCCCAGRAGTTCAGAAGATATTTTGCTAACAGGAGAATGAGCGCACGCAGAGACATGATTGCCCGCCCTGTCCAGAGCTGTTGTTTACCTGAGCCCAGCGTGCTGCTGCACTGCCAGTTCTCGAAGCTCGCGGGCTTCCAGCAGGACTCCCACAGGGACAGGTAGTACTGGTCGTCCGCGGTCACCCACGCCGGACTCATCACGGCTCCAACGTCCAGGCAGAGCGCCAGGAAGACGCACACCAGCCCCACCAGCTTCAGCGGGGTCAGCGGGGAGCCGCGCGCCGACTCCTCTGTCTCTGTGACGGCGGAGGACATGTCGGGGCAGGAGACAAGAGCGGCTCACGACCTGCTTCGGGGGCGGGGAGGTGCTGCCGTGTTCCGGCGTCTCCTCTCCGAGCACACGGAGGCTGCGGCGGCCGCCTGCGGTGCGAGCTGGACGGACGCTCGCTGCGCCTGTGGGCACCGCTGCCGCCGCGCGGCGGAGACCTCCACCGCTGACGTCAAAGGCTCCCAGGGATCAGCAGGTGCAACAGGGTCCTAGAGAGAAAGAGAGACAGAGACAMGAACATGAAAATAAAATAAATTTTACTCCACACAAGAAACTWTCATTAAATCACACTGAGTTGGTTGAAATTGTTTTAATGAATTTTAAACAAGTAAAGTCAGACATACTTGGAAAAAAAAGTTTGGGCACCCTTATTAATTTTCCTGATTTACCTTTATAAATCATTGATTGTTTGGACAAAAAACAGTAAAATATATCATATAGGTCATTGGTTCCCAAACTTTTTATCTTCTGACCCACAAAATATCCACGGCAAAAACTTGTGACCCCAAATATTACTGATCTGAGTAC